TATCTAGGGTGAAACAGATCACCAGCCCAGGTTGGGTGCATGAGACAAGTGCTCGGGCCTGGTGCACTGGGAAGACCCAGAGGGATCGGGTGGAGAGGGAGGTGGGAGGGGGGACCGGGATGGGGAATACATATAAATCCATGGCTAATTCATTTCAATGTATGACAAAAACCACTGCAATGCTGTAAAGTAATTAGCCTCCAACTAATAAAAATAAATGAAAAAAAAAAGAAATAATAATACCATTTGCTTTTTTTAAATACTTGAACTTGTCTAAAAGTGATCATATTTAAATGTCTTTTTTAAAGTATAAAATCTTTATTTCAAAACAACACTATTTTTTTAAAAGATGTTTTAGTATATAATGTGTTAAATACCTTTTAAAACAGGAAGCTGACGATAAGCTGCAAGTTTTGGCTGAAATATATTTTCCATTATAACTCGCTCCATAAAAAATAAGTCCTGTTGAAACTTGTCAGATTTAAAGACTGCATCTGAGTTGTCTTCTTCTTCATCACGAACTTTAGCCAGGATTACATTTTCAATATCCATTAGAGAACTACCTTCACTAACTGTAAAATACAAACATGATGCAATGGTAACATAATTCAAATATTATAATATTAGCTGGCTTGTACATTCTAAAGATGTATCAATGACATTTTGCCATCCATCACTATTTGTATTCCTCCAGTATTCACAACAACTTTAATAGTTACTTATTGAATGTCTTTTAGGAACCAAGTACATGCAAGATATACATATATTATTTCATTTTGGAATCCAAAAATGTGCTGTTTTCCAGAAAATAAGCAATGATAACTCATAAGGTAATTTGTATCTCCATATATTTTTATTCAAATTGAAATTAAATTATTATCAGTCTTCATTACACCTTCAGATAAAGGTTTAATTTATTGCTTTATAGGACTACTACACTACTGTTGTTTATTAATGCTATAACAAATTACCAAAAATTTAGTGGATTAAATTTAAAGTTCTGGATTAAATTTAAAATTAAATTTAAAGTGGATACAAATTTAAAGTTCTGTAGGTTAGAGATCAACCCAGGTCTCACTTGGCCAAAACCAAAAGGTTATTAGGGTTATGTTCCTTTCTGAAGGCTCTAGAGAATTAATTTCCTTGCCAATTTCTAGAAGCCACCACCAACCCGTCATCCATCTTCAGAAGACAGCAACATTGCATTTCTCTGATGGCCCTGCCATTACATCTCTCTCTGACCAGAAATGGAAAAAATACTCCAAAGTACCCATTTGATTGGTTTGGGTCCACTCAGATAATCCAGGATAACCTCCCTCTTTTAGATCCTTAGTGTAGTCACATCTTGATAGTCTCTTATCTCGTGTAAAGTAATCTATTCATAGATTCCTGAGATCAGGATGTGTATATATTTGAGGAATAATTATTCTACCTATTACTTAGTAAAAACAGAATGAAGGGGAATCCTGCATCCATGAAGATGGAATAAACACACTTTTTCCTATTCCTTTGCTAAATACAACTAAAAATCTTGGGACATTAATTTTTTTTTTTTTTTTTTAGAGGAAGCCTTTGAAAGCCTTTGACAGAAGAAGGCAGAGGAAAAAGATTGCTCAGGACCCAGGAAATGACACAGTGGTGAGTTCCCTGGATTTTTAATTACTGCAGATACTCCAGACAAACCTCCTCTCTTTAGCCAAAACTCAGGAGAAGAACAACCTTGCAAGAAAGAAAACTTTTAGGATATAACCATTTCTCTCCAGAAAAAAAAAAAACAGAGAAAAAATTGTAGCCCCACCCATTCCACAAATACCACTAGCCAAGGGAGAAGTCTAGACTTCCATTCCTGCCAGGTTCTAACAAGGCTTTTCAATCTCCCAGCCTTCCAGTGGGTGTGGTGTCAGAAAAGGCTCAGTAAGGAGCCAGGACTTTCAATCCTACCCTACCCAAAAACGAAAAAAATGACTGTGCTACCCTTGTGCAATGTCAGTTAAGATCTCTTGGGGAACATGGAATTCCACAGCTATCTGGCAGTAACAAGGTTCTTCCCTATAGTCAGAGTTGGACTGGTACAGTCAGAACTCACAGAACTGCCCCAAAGTAATAAAGTCAAGTCCCAATCCTTGGTGTCAGGAAGTGTTAATGAGGTGCTCCTATCCCTCCCAGCCACGTATATACCAATGAAAGTTAGAGCTAACTATCTAACTTACACAAGGTTAGAGCTCCCCAGCTAACATTACAGAAAAGTAATGAGATGATCCCCTCCCTCAATGTAATTGAAGGGCAAGTGAAAAATATGGATTTTTACTGCAGTAATGGGTGCTTCGCAGGTGGTGCTAGTGGTAAAGAATCTGCCTGCCAATTAGGAGATGCAAGAGACCCAGCTTCAATCCCTGGATCAGGAAGATCCCCTGGAGTAGGAAATTGCAACCCTTTCCAATATTCTTGCCTGGAAAATTCCGTGGACAGAGGAACCTGGTGGGCTACAGTCCATGAGGTTGCAAAGAGTCAGACATGACTGAGTGAACGTGTGCACGTGCACACACACAACACAAAATGGAGCAGTAAACCCCACTTCTCCTTTCACCTGGCGGTAATGGAGCAGTAAATTTCCCTGTCAAAATAGTGTCAAACAAATCCTGCTAAAAATGAAGTTTAAACAAGATCCAGTTCTCAAAACATAATAATCCAAGTTTCTAAATTTCAACTGAACGTCACTGATCAAAGAACCAAGAAAATCTCTACTTAAATGAAACCAAAAAACAAACAAAATCAATACAAACCAACACTGAGATGACAGAGATGCTTAAATTATCTGACAACAGATAAAATATATCTGACATAAAAAATATCTGACAAAAAATTCAACAGATGGGCTCAACAGCAAAATGGAAGGGACAGAGAAGAGAATCAGTGAACTTGAAGACAGAAAAATAGAAATTACCAAATCTGAAAACCAGAAAGAAAATCATCTGCATATATATATACATATATATATATATGTATATATACATGTATATGTATATATATACATGAATAGAGGTCCAAAGACCTCTAACAAGATATATAATATTCACATCACTGGGGAGAGGAGAAAAGGATGAGACCAAAAAAGTACTTGAAGAAATAATAGCTGAAATTTTCCAAAATTTGGCAAAGAAAAACATACAGTATTAAGAAACAGTGAATTCCAAAGGAGATAAACCTAAAGAAATTCACACCAAGATACACCATACTCAAGCTTCTGAAAACTGAAAACAAAACAAAAATATAGAAAGCACCAAGAAAAAAATACTGTCTTATATACAGAGGGAAAGAAACTAAAAACCTTCTGCATAGCAAGGGAAACCATCAGTAAAATGAAAAGACAACCTACTGAATGGGAGAAAGTATTTGCAAACCATATATCGGATAAGGAGTTAATACAAAATATATAAAGAGCTCAAAGAACACAATAGCAAAAAAACAAACAAACAAAAAAAAATGACAGAAGATAAGCTAAAGAGACATTTTTCCCAAATGGCACATGAGATGTTCAACATCACCAATTATCAGGGAAATGCAAGGCATTACATTAAGTGGTCCTTTTCATCATAGGGGACTGGAATGCAAAAGTAGGAAGTCAAGAGATACCCAGATTCAGGCAAGTTTGGCCTTGCAGTACAAAATGAAGCAGGGCAAAGGCTAACAGAGTCTCACCAAGAAAACGCACTGGTCATAGCAAACACCATCGTCCAACAACACAAGAGAAGACTCTACACATGGACATCACCAGATGTGAAAAGTGAAATCAGACTGATTACACTTTTTGTAGCCGATGATGGAGAAACTCTATACAGTCAGCAAAAACAAGACCGGAAGCTGACTATGGCTCAGATCACAAACTCCTTATTGCAAAATTCAGACTTAAATTGAAGAAAGTAGGGAAAACCACTAGGCCATTCAGTAAGTTCAGTTCAGTTCAGTTCAGTCGCTCAGTCGTGTCCGACTCTTTGCGACCCCATGAATTGCAGCACGCCAGGCCTCCCTGTCCATCACAAACTCCCGGAGTTTACTCAAACTCATGCCCATCGAGTCGGTGATGCCATCCGGCCATCTCATCCTCTGTCATCCCCATTTCCTCATGCCCCCAATCTCTCCCAGCATCAGGGTCTTTTCCAGTGAGTCAACTCTTCAATGAGGTGGCCAAAGTATTGAAGTTTCAGCTTCAACATCAGTCCTTCCAGTGAACACCCAGGACTGATCTCTTTCAGGATGGACTGGTTGGATCTCCTTGCAGTCCAAGGGACTCTCAAGAGTCTTCTCCAACACCACAGTTCAAAAGCATCAATTCTTCGGCGCTCAGCTTTCTTCACAGTCCAACTCTCACATCCATACATGACCAATGGAAAAATCATAGCCTTGACCAGACGGACCTTTGTTGGCAAAGTAATGTCTCTGCTTTTTAATATGCTATCTGGGTTGGTCAAAACTTTCCTTCCAATGAGTAAGCGTCTTTTAATTTCATGGCTGCAATTACCATCTGCAGTGATTTTGGAGCCCCAAAAAATAAAGTCTGACACTGTTTCCACTGTTTCCCCCATCTATTTGCCATGAAGTGATGGGACCAGATGCCATGATCTTAGTTTTCTGAATGTTAAGCTTTAAGCCAACTTTTTCACTCTCTTCTTTCACTTTCATCAAGAGGCTTTTTAGTTCCTCTTCACTTTTTGCCATAAGGGTGGTGTCATCTGCTTATCTGAAGTTCTTGATATTTCTCCCGGCAATCTTAATTCCAGCTTGTGCTTCTTCCAGCCCAGCATTTCTCATGATGTATTCTGCATATAAGTTAAATAAGCAGGGTGACAATATACAGCCTTGACGTACTTCTTTTCCTATTTGGAACCAGTCTGCTGTTCTATGTCCAGTTCTAACTGTTGCTTCCTGAACTACATACAGGTTTCTTAAGAGGCCATTCAGGTATGACCTAAATCAAATCCCTTGCATACAGTGGCAGTGACTCAAGGGATTAGATCTAATAGAGTACCTAAAGAACTATGGACGGAGGTTCATGACATTGTACAGAAGGCAGGGATCAAGACCACCCCCAAGAAAAAGAAATGAAAAAAAGCAAAGTCACTATCTGAGGAAGCCTTACAAATAGCTGAGAAAAGAAGAGAAGTGACAAGAAAAGGACAAAGGGAAAGATATACCAATCTGAATGCAGAGTTCCAAAGAATAGCAAGGAGAGATAAGAAAGCCTTCCTCAGTGATTAATGCAAAGAAATAAAGGAAAACAATAGAATGGGAAAGACTAGAGATTTCTTCAGGAAATTAGATACCAAGGGAACATTTCATGCAAAGATGGGCACAATAAAGAATAGAAACAGTATGGACACAACAGAAGCAGAAGATATTAAGAAGAGGTGGCAAGAATACACAGAACTATACAAAAAATATCTTAATGACCCACAAAGGTGTGATCACTCACCTAAAGCCAGACATCCTGGGATGCAAAGTCAAGTGGGCCTTAGGAAGCATCACTACCAACAAAGCTAGTGGAAGTGATGGAATTCCAGCTGAGCTATTTCAAATCCTAAAAGATGATGCTGTGAAATATTGCACTCATTATGCCAGCAAATGAGGAAGACTCAGCAGTGGCCACAGACTGGAAAAGGTCAGTTTTCTTTCCAGTTCCAAAGAAGGGCAATGCCAAAGAATGTTCAAATTGCCGCACAATTGCATTCATGTCACACACTGGCAGGTAACGCTCAAAATTCTCCAAGCTAGGCTTCAATAGGATGTGAACCGAGAACTCCCAGATGTTCAAGCAGGATTTAGAAACTTCAGGGGAAACCAGAGATTAAATTCCAACATCATAGAAAAAATAAGAGAATTCCAGAAAAACATCTCCTTCAGCTTCATTGACTATGCGAAAGTCTTTGAGTGTGTGGCTCACAACAAAATGTAGAAAATTCTTAGAGATGGGAATACCAGACCACTTTACCTGCATCCTGAGAAATCTGTATGCAGGACAAGAAGCAACAGCTAGAACTGGACATGGAACAATGGACTGGTTCTAAATTGGGAAAGGAGTTCGTCAAGGATGTGTATTGTCACTCTGCTTATTTAACCTATATGCAGATTACATCATGCAAAATGCCAGGCTGGATAAAGCACAAGCGGAATCAAGATTGCCAGGAGAAATGGCAGTAACCTCAGATATGCGGATGGCACCATTCTTATGGCAGAAAGTGAAGAGGAACTGAAGAGCCTTCTGATGAAGGTGAAAGAGAGGGAAAAAGCTGGCTTAAAATTCAACATTCAGAAAACTAAGATCATGGCACCTGGTCCCATCACTTCATAGCAAATACATAGGGAAACAATGGAAAAAGTGACAGACTTTATTTTCTTGGGCTCCAAAATCACTGCAGATGGTGACTGCAGCCATGAAATTAAAAGACACTTGCTCCTTGGAAGAAAAGCCATGACCAACCTAAACAGCAGAGACATTACTTTGCCAACAAAGGTCTGTATAGTCAAAGCTATAGTTTTTCCAGTAGTCAAGTATGGATGTGAGAGTTGGACCATAAAGAAGGCTGAACACAGTGAAGGATTGATGCTTTTGAACTTTGGCATTGGAGAAGACTCTTGAGAGTCCCTTGGACGCAAGATCAAACCAGTCAATCTGAAAAGAAATCAACCCTGAATATTTATTGGAAGGACTGATGCTGAAACTGAATCTCCAATACTTAGGCCACCTGATGAGAAAAGCCAACTCATTAGAAATAAGACCCTGATGCTGGGAAACTGTGAAGGCAGGAGAAGGGGACAACAGAGGATGAGACAGTTGGATGTAACCAAGACTCAGTGGACATGAGTTTGAGCTAGCCCCGGGAGATGGTAAAGGACAGGGAAGCCTGGTGTGCTATAGTCCATGGGGTTGCAAAGAGTTGGACACAACTGAGCAACTGAACAATAACAATGGTAAGTGAAATAAAACAGAGAGAGAAAGACAAATACTGTATGATTTCACTCATATGCAGACTCAGTTCAGTTCAGTCACTCAGTCACATCCGACTCTTTGCGACCCCATGAATTGCAGCATGCTAGGCCTCTCTGTCCATCACCAACTCCTGGAGTCTACGAAAACCCACGTCCATTGAGTTGGTGATGCCATCCAACCATCTTATCCTCTGTCGTCCCCTTCTCATCCTGCCCTCAATCTTTCCCAGGATCAGGGTCTTTTCCAATCAGTCAGCTCTTCACATCAGGTGGCCAAAGTACTGGAGTTTCAGCTTCAACATCAGTCCTTTCAATGAACACCCAGGACTGATCTCCTTCAGGATGGACTGGGTGAATCTCCTTGCAGTCCAAGGGACTCTCAAGAGTCTTTTCCAACACCACAGTTCAAAAGTATCAATTCTTCAGCGCTCAGCTTTCTTCACTGTCCAACTCTCACATCCATACATGACCACTGGAAAAACCATAACCTTGATTAGACGGACCTTTGTTGGCAAAATAATGTCTCTGCTTTTTAATATGCTATCTAGGTTGCTCATAACTTTCCTTCCAAGGAGTAAGCGTCTTTTAAATTCATGGATGCAATCACCATCTGCAGTGATTTTGGAGCCCAAAAAAATAAAATCTGACACTGTTTCCACTGTTTCCCCCATCTATTTGCCATGAAGTGATGGGACCAGATGCCATGATCTTAGTTTTCTGAATGTTGAACTTTAAGCGAACCTTTTCATTCTCCTCTTTCACTTTCATCAAGAGGCTCTGTAGTTCATCTTCACTCTCTGCCATAAGGGTGGTGTCATCTGCATATCTGAGGTTATTGATATTTCTCCCAGCAACCTTGATTCCAGCTTGTGCTTCTTCCAGCCCAGCATTTCTCATGAAGTACTCTGCATGTAAGTTAAATAAGCAGGGTGACAATTATACAGCCTTGANTGAGCTATTTCAAATCCTGAAAGATGATGCTGTGAAAGTGCTGCACTCAATATGCCAGCAAATTTGGAAAACTCAGCAGTGGCCACAGGACTGGAAAAGGTCAGCTTTCATTCCAATCCCAAAGAAAAGCATGCCAAAGAATGCTCAAACTACTACACAACTGCACTCATATGCAGACTATAAAAAGTTATAACAAAAACAAAAACAAACGAACAAAATAACAAAACTCATAAATACATTGATGGCTATTAGAAGGGAAGGTGGGTGAGGGGTAGGTGAAATAGAGAGGGAAGTTTACAGAGTGACAGTAACTAGACTTATTGTGGTGATCACTTTGTAGTATACACAGAGACCAAATTATTATGTTGTACATGTGAAACTAATATAAAATTATAATTCAATTATCCTAATTTTAAAAAACTGAAATAAATGAAATCTTACTTTTTTCCAAATTACTCCCTGGCACTGATTGTTCCCAGTCTTTTGAAGGTACATTTGCTTTACTACTTGAGTCAATCATAGGTCGTTTTGGTGGTAAAGTTGAAAGCTCCATAGCATTGTAAGAATCATACAAATCCCAAGCCGTGGACATTATACCTAAATAAAGAAAAGGAAGGTAAACATTACTTTAAACCAAATTATAATATTTTAGCTTATATACAGCTAGCTATAGCAAAATCTAAGGCAAGAATATCTATTGTTCAAGGAAAAAACATTATTGTTTTACAACAATGGCAAGAAATAGTTAATGATGCCCATGGATTGTAGCCTGCCAGGCTTCTCTGTCCATGGCATTCTCCAGGTCAGAAAACTGGAGTGGGTAGCCATTCCCTTCTTCAGGGGATCTTCCCAACACAGAGATCAAGCCCAGGTCTCCAGCATTGCAGGCAGATTCTGTACCACCAGAGCTGCCAGGGAAGCCCCAATTTTAGTTTATGTAACATTATTATGTTTGTTCATTGGACTAAATTTAATTAATCTAAGAAACAGAAAGCCTAGGAAATAGATATTATGTACATGCCATAATTATGTACAAGTTAGAATAATAAATCATGATTGTGACTTCTAATTCTATACTATCATACACTATTAAAGAAATCTTATTTTAGAAACTACTTTCAGAAAAATGGTATTCCTAACTATACCTAGGTTTTGAGTATTTCTGAGTGTAAGATTGTGTAAATAGATTTTAAAAGTTTTAAAACACTGTTTCTATCTACTGGTTTAATTTAGACTATAAAAGAATAACAATTGGTCATATAACATTTATAAAAAATAATTTTATTTTAGCTGAGTAAAAAGACATGATTACTGTAAAAGAAAAGGTAAATAAGACTTACATTTCTATAACCTAGAAATAACTGGTAACATTTTCATGCATGTCCTTCCAGATTGACATAAATATATATGTGTAAACACATGAACAAATACACATGCATTTTTTAATTAAAATGATCTCATATCACACATGCTTTTTAAAAGTTTTTACAATAGTGTATAATATACATAGAAAACAAGCTGTCTCTATGAAATGTACCGAGTTTTAGAATTTAACTGTGTTTTAAAAAGTAAACCAGGAACACTAATACATTCATTGAATTATCCATTTATTTGAAATGCAACTTCTATAATAAAGTATTGTATGTGGACTGCTAGGTAGGAAACTTTTTGCCAGTTTTTCTGAATCTTTACAGAGGCAACTTCAGCTAAATTGACATTTCTGGCTTCTCTATGTCCCTCATTCACACATTACCAGGAAAGAGAAATGACTAATCCTACAGGAAAGTTTAGGAGACGGAATTACAACTTGGCCACTTCTGGATTCTTTTGTTAAGTCTACTCATTTGCAGAAAGCATGCATTTTCATCTGTTCTCACCCATGCAGAGAAGGTCTGTACTTTCTAGCTGTGCCAATTATTGTTGGTAAGATCTATTCTGAATGGAAGAAACAGCAAGTCCACTCAGCTGTGGATGAAAGATTACATGTTTCAATTAACTTCACCAGTAGTAAAGGCACTTTTTAAAAATTTCCATCTCTTCTATTGATCCATAGTCTCAATATTTACTTGATCTTCGTCAAATTCTTACTATAAACATTAGTTTATAGTTTTAAAAATTAGTTTTAAAAATTCCAACTGGAGTATAGTTGATTTAGAATGTTGTCTTAGTTTCAGGTGTAAACCAAAGTGAATCAGTTATATACATACATATATCCACTCTCTTTTATATTCTTTCCCCATACAGGCTACTGCTGCTGCTGCTAAGTCACTTCAGTCGTGTCCGACTCTGTGCAACCCCATAGACGGCAGCCCACCAGGCTCCTCCGTCCTAGGATTCTCCAGGCAGGAACACTGGAGTGGGGTGTAGGCCACTGGGGAGTACTGATTAGAATTCCCTGTGCTTTACTCATTATCGTATTTTTTAATATCTATTTTTAAATTTTTATCTTGGCTGCATTGGGTATTAGTTGCAGCTTGTGGGAACTTTCATTTGATCTCTTCCTCTGCCTCTTTGAAAGTTAGTAATTCTGTATTGTATATTTGGAAGTTGCTAAGAGAGTTGCGAAGAGTGCGATCACTCACCTAGAGCCAGACATCCTGGAATAGGAAGTCAAGTGGGCCTTAGAAAGTATCACTACGAACAAAGCTAGTGGAGGTGATGGAATTCCAGTTGAGCTATTTCAAATCCTGAAAGATGATGCTGTGAGAGCGCTGCACTGAATATGCCAGCAAATTTGGAAAACTCAGCAGTGGCCACAGGATTGGAAAAGGTCGGTTTTCATTCCAGCCAAAGAATGCTTGAATTACCGCACAATTGCACCCATCTCACACACTAGTAAAGTAATGCTCAAAATTCTCCAAGCCAGGCTTCAGCAATACGTGAACCAGAAAGTGAAAGAGGAGAGTGAAAAAGTTGGCTTAAAGCTCAACATTCAGAAAACTAAGATCATGGCATCTGGTCCCATCACCTCATGGCAAATAGATGGGGAAACAGTGGAAACAATGGCTGACTTTATTTTTCTGGGCTCCAAAATCACTGCAGATGGTGATTGCATCCATGAAATTAAAAGACACTTCCTCCTTGGAAGGAAAGTTATGACCAACCTAGATAGCATGTTTAAAAGCAGAGATATTACTTTGCCAACAAAGGTCTGTCTAGCCAAGGCTATGGGTTTTTTTCCAGTAGTCATGTATGGATGTGAGAGTTGGATGGTGAAGAAAGCTGAGCACCGAAGAATTGATACTTTTGAACTGTGGTGTTGGAGAAGACTTTTGAGAGTCCCTTGGACTGCAAGGAGATCCAAGCAGTCCATCCTGAAGGAGATCAGTCCTGGGTGTTCATTGGAAGGACTGATGTTGAAGCTGAAACTCCAATACTTTGGCTACCTCACATGAAGTGCTGACTCATTGGAAAAGACCCTGATGCTGGAAGGATTGGGAGCAGGAGGAGAAGGGGACGACAGAGGATGAGATGGCTGGATGGCATCACCGACTCAATGGACATGGGTTTAGGTAGACTCCAGGAGTTGGTGATGGACAGGGAGGCCTGGCGTGCTGCAATTCATGGGGTTGCAAAGAGTCAGACATGACTGAGCTTCTGAACTGAACTGAAGAGAGTAGATCCTAAAAATATTCATCACAAGAAAAAGATTTTTCTATCTATGTACGGTGATGAATGTTTAGTAGACTTACAATCATGGTCACTTCAAAGTGTATACAAATATATAATTGATTTGTTACACAATTGAAACTAACATTATATATCAATTATATCTCAATGAAAAATTAAAATATAAAAGAATTAGAGCAGAAATCAGTAAAATTGAAAACAGAAAGTCAATAGAGAAAATCAATGAAACTAAAAGATGGTTCTCAGAAAAGATCTATAAAATCAATAAGCCTCCACCCAAGATAACTAAGAAAAAAAGTACTAATATCATATGTGAAAGAGGATGTCCCTGAAACTGAAATAAGATAAGAAAAAGTAAATGTTAGTAAAAGAAATACAGAATGAAAATGAAGAAATAAACTGTTTTTTAACTCAGATGACATAATCATCTATATAGAAAACCTGAAAGAATTAACAAAAAAACTACTGAACTACTAAGTGATTACAGCAAAATTTTAGGGTACAAGGTTAACACTATACAAAAATCAATTTCTTTGCTGTATATTAACGATGAACAAAGGAATTTGTAATTTAAAACAATACATTAGCACCCAAAAGTGAAGTAGGAATAAGTTGTAACAAAATATGTACAAAATGTATTATAAGGAAGACTACAAAACTCTGATGAACAAAATTAAAGAATGAAATAAATGGAGAGATATTCCATGTTTACTGATCACATGGCATCAGCATTGTCATGATGCCTGTCCTGCCCAAATTGATCTATAGATTCAATGCAGTTTCAATCAAATCTAAGCAAGTTACTTTGTGCATATCAACAAACAGATTCTAGGGGAGACTTTCAAGATGGTGGAGGAGTAAGACTTGGAGATCATCTTCCTCCCCACAAATACATCAAAAATACTTCTGCATGTGGAACAACTCCTACAGAACACCTACTAAATGCTGGCAGAAGACCTCACGCTTCCAGAAAGAATCCAACACAGCATTGTAAAGCAGTTTTCCTCCAGTTAAAAAAGAAGTGAACTGACAAAAAGAAACTGATTCCAAAGTTTATATAAAGGGACCAAAGACCCAGAAAAGCCAGCACAAGATTGAAGACAAAGAACAAAATAGGAGTACTGACACTACTCAACCTGAAGACTTACTACACTGCTACGGTAATCAAGGTAATGTGCATGAAACAGAATAGAGAGCTTAGAAATATACTGACATTACATAGTCAGCTAATCTCTGTCAAAGGAGCAAAAATAGAAGAAGCAAAGATAGTCTTTTCAACAAATGGTGCTGGAACAAACTGGACATCCAAGCGCAAAAAAAAAAAAAAAAAAACTAATCTAGACATAGATCTTACGTCCTTCAGGAAAATTAACTAGAAACTTGTTAACGAAAAGTAAAAGGCAAAACTAGAAAACTCATAGAAGAAAATATAGGCAAAAATTTAGATGACCTTGAGTATGGCAATGTTGTTTTTAGAAACAACAGCAAAAGTACAATCTGTTAAGCAATAATTGATAATCTGGGTTTCATTAAAATTAAAAATATCTGCTCTCTAAAAGGAAATGTCAAGAGAATAACAAGACAAGCCACACACTGGAAGAAAACATTTGCTAAAGATACAACTGAAAAAGGACTGTTGTCCAAAATACACAAATATCTTTTGATCCCTAACAATAAGAAAAAAAACAACCAAATTTTAAAATGGGCCAAAGAACTTAACAGATACCTCATCAAAAAAAAGGCATACAGGTGGCCAGTAAGTATATGAAAATATATTCCTCATCATATGTTGTCATGGGAAAATAAAACAAAAGTGAGGGGAATTCCCTGTGGTCCAATGGTTGAGACTTGGCACTTTCATTGCTGGGACTAGGGTTTGATTCCTAATCGGCAAATCCAAATTCCACAAGCCGCGCAGCATAGCCAACCCCACCCAAACAAACAAAAATAAGTTACCCCTGCACACTACTAGAATGGTCAAAATCTGGAATACTGACAACATGAAATGCTAATGAGGATGTGGAACCACAGAAACTCTCCATCACTGCTGGTGGGAATGCAAAATGGTACGATCACTTTAGAAGGCAGTGTGGCTAATTAAAAAAAAAAAAATACTGTTTCCATACAATTAAGCAATCACACTCCTCAATATTTACCCAAAGGACTTAAAAACCTATGTTTTTAACCTATATTTTAAACCTATGTTTTAACACAAAAACTTGCACATAGATATTTATACCAGCCTTATTGATAATTGCCAAAATTTGAAACAATCAAGATGCCCTTCAGTAGGCAAATGAATAAATTAACTGTTGGTACATCCAGATAAAGGTTAATTAAGAATCTGGCTACCTATGGTTCTACAAGCCTTCTGTGAGGGAGGAGAGGATTTCAAGGAGTCTCTGTGTATAGCATTCAGTATGAATTGGGGTTTTTGTTTGTTTGGGGTTTTGTTTTGTAGTTCTTTGGTTTTGCTTAAGTACCCATTGTGTAGTCAGAGCTATGGTTTTTCTGGTACTCATGCATAGATGTGAGAGTTGGGCCATAAAGAAGGCTGAGAGCCAAAGAATTGATGCTTTTGAACTGTGGTGTTGGAGAAGACTCTTGAGAGTCCCTTGGACTGCAAGGAGATCAAACCAGTCCATCCTAAAGGAAATCCACTCTGAATATTCATTGGAAGGACTGATGCTGAAGCTGAAGCTCCAATACTTCAGCCAGCTGATACATAGAGCTGACTCACTGGAAAAGACTCTGATGCTAGGAAAGATTGAGGGCAGGAGGAGAAGGGGGCAACAGAGGATGTTTTTTACAAAGCATCACTGACTCAATGGACATGAATTATGAGCAAACTCCAGAAGATAGTGAAGGACAGGGAAGCCTGGCATAGTGCTGTTCATGGAGTCACAAAGAATGACTCAGTGACTGAACAACAACAACCCATGTCTTGATCTGTGCCTGGTATTCTCCATCTAAAGAGCCTCTATTTTGTCCTCTCCAGAGTAGAAATTTCAGACATCTTCCAAGGTAGAAGAGGGGAAGTTTCTCAGAGAAGTTACTTTATTCCTTTTGTGACTGAATTATATCTCATTATATGTATTTAAGAGTCTTCCTGATAGCTCAGTTGGTAAAGAATCTGCCTGCAATGCAGGAGACCCCAGTTCAATTACTGGGTCAGGAAGATCCACTGGAGAAGGGATAGGCTATCCACTCCAGTATTTTTGGGCTTCCGCTGTGGCTCAGCAGGTAAAGAATCTGCCTGCAATGCGGGAGACCTGGGTTC